CTGTGGCTATTAGGGGAAGAGGCATCAAATGAGATACTCCCAAAGAAAGAAATTTGAAAACTATTCAATGCTATGAAAATATAAGGCTCTACTGTTCTGAACACTCCCACAACAGCCAGGGGTGTGTGGGGGGAACAAACTAAATAAAAGAATGGAGAAACTATATTCTTTAGGCCATCAGTCATTACAAGATCCTTGAGCTTTATGCCTCCGTTTGCTAGAGGAGATATTTGTCATTTTCAGAGTCTTTCCATTTTGGTTTTATTAGCTATATAGTAATTGATATGAATAAAAGATAGTTTTAATTTAATAGCAATGCCTACATCAACTGTCATAATATATTTTATGTCATTGATAGTCCATTTATTTTCCAAAAGGATTTACCAATTTACAATAAAGAACACAAATGGGATAAGGTTGATGAAAAAGTAATATAATAGAAATAAGGAATAAGGAACTTGAAATGATAGAGGAAGGCACATATATACCTTGGTGTCAAGAGATTTTTATACTAAGTTCTCAGGCAATGTTCAAAGAACACTGGAGTAGGAGTCTGACATCTTGTGTCTTATCCTCATTTACCTACCATGTGGTTTGCACGTTAAGACTTATACTTATTTTTTTACTTAGTCTGTTATTCTACCTGCTACACTTGCCCACAAGTAAATTATCTAGTTCTCTTTAAATTTAACTCTCTCAGGCTTCCCCTAGGAGATGCTTCCAGACAAGTTCCATTTTAACACCACCTGAAAATTATTTCAGGGAAAGCTGGTTTGTTTTTTGCTTTCTTTTTTTTTAAACACAAACATACAACCAATATTATATTTAAATGCTTTTTGTAGCCATTTCATCTGTAATTATTTGATGGGGAAAATAACAAATGAATTCCAGGTAGTCTATTGGATTTTCTAACTAAACTTTCCTTATTTTTCACACACATACACATATATATGCATATGTACATGTACACACATATGGATGTATATATTATTTTTATATCTAAAGTGAGTTTTAAACAGGACCATGATTCTTTTCCTGTTGGTAATATGCTAACGTATGCTAATATCTCCCAGTAAAGTAGTATGCTACTTGGATATGAGAATGGAAATGGAAACAATGTCATAATGGCAGAGCCATGGGGTTTGTAAGTTAAAACAGCAATCACTGTAATTATCCAAGTGGTTCTAAATAAGGAAAAGTTGAGTCACCATCAACAATTAAATTAAATTCTTGTAAAATAAGCAGTAACATGCACCAAAGATTTAAGAACTATTTATTGGAGAAATGTGTGAACTGGAAAAAAATGTATCCTTCATTCTCCTTGAGAAATCATAGATCATGACTTAATCAGCTTATTGTGTAACTACATTAAACTGCTCCCCGGAACTCCTTTATGATTTCGATGGAGTTTGTTCTACTATTATCTCTCCGACCCTACACACAGAATACACACCAAAACACACATATTCATACCCTCACATCCATCTCTGCCATATTACCATCAGGTCCATCCCAGTAAATAGCTAGCCAATTATGAAAACAATAAGCCAAACCCATTTTTGGTGCTTTTGAGACAAAAGAAGCAGTATGTTAAATAACCTGTCATACTGGTTGACTATTTGAAGATGGAGTGTATCCACTTTATCTTGGTTAGTGGTGACAGTGTGGAGATTTCATTCCAGAAATACTCTGTTTTTGGAACTCAACAAAGCAACCTCAGCTGCTTGCAAACTTGCAAATCCTGCAATGTTAAATGGCCAAAATGCTACCATAGCAATTTTTTCTTCAGTTAAATTGATCATTTTTTGCTACCAGGCAGGAAATTTACATGGTTCTAATTATTAATAAATATGTATGATCTTAGCACCAACATAGTGAGCACAGTGAGAAACCAGCAATCAGAACTACTAGGCTCAGGGGAGAAAGCATGTGATGTGGTATGGCATGGCTCAGAAATGAGGATCTTTAATGGATTAAGGAGGATTCTTACGGTTCCTGAGACAGTCTCAAAAAGTTGGTTTGTAATCTACATTTAAAAGTAACAAAATTAACTTTTCAATTTGAAAACGTAAAGCAAAATAATTCCATGTTCCCCCTGGGACTCTAGGCATTTTATATTAAAATTAACAGAAATCACGAGTTTCTCGTTAAAAACCATGCAAGATGGCAAAGCTAAAAAGAGGAAAAATATAACAGGTTATCAGAGTAGAAAGTTGTTAACTATTAATTAACTTCCTCCAAAGCCAGCATTGGACTATGGGAGCATTCAGGGTCTTTATTCACTCTTACTAGCAAATTCAGTACCAAGAATACATATTTTAATGCTTATTTCTACAGAGCAGAATAAGCCGTATGCTAAGGACTTTTTACCTTTTATGTCCTTTTCACCTACAAAGTTAGAATTATCTAACACAGTGACATCCTAAATTCAGAACAATGGAAGCAATAAAAATAATTTTTTAAATCAGATTTTATATTTACTTACCCTAATATTGTCATAGTGAGGTTTTGTTCTTTGTTTCCTTAAAAATTGAGGCCATGGTGACCCCCTAACCACTACATATAAGAAACTGTGTATTTATCTTTTAAAATGTTCTTCCTCTTTATATCCTTTATATTGAGAATTACACAATAGGGCAGTGGTTAAAAAATATAAGTGGAGTAGAAGGCTTGTAAAGTTAATTGTATGGTGAGAAGGCCAGACTAGCTTTTGAAAACATGCCAGATTTTGAGCTATAGATTTGTTTTCATCTGCTTTGGTCTTATGAGAAGATGTGAAAAGAATGAAGTACAGTCAATTTTACATCATTGGTATAGTTTCTTGGTATTGATTATTGTATAATTATATTAAGCTGTGATTGGTATATGGTGAAGACAGACTTTTAGAGCCAGGAGGGTTAGGCTGGAGACTTAAAGGAACTGCCACTTATTTAAGTCAAATAATTGGGTCTCTGTTTCAAAACAGTGTTAGCAAATGAAATATTCTTTGGAACTGTTGTGAAGATCCAGCTAATGAATTTGAAAAGTCTTTACAACTGTAAAGCACCATGCCTATCTGTTGTTGTTATCAGTTTTTGACTTGCTCTTTTTATAGCGACAAAATTATTTCCTGATAGAGTATGTGTTTATCTCTGTAGCAGAATCCACTATATATTTAGGATAGAATATGATAACATCTTATAAATGGCCACAAAATGTCACAGGCTGATTTGCATTTTTGGTGATTCTATATGTTAATCACTGAGCAACCTTCAGTTTTCCAAATAAAGAATAAAGGGAGTAGTGATGACATTTGTAATCATCTACAGAAAGGGAATTATTCAAATTCTTCACAGATGGAGAGAGATCAAGGGTAAATCATTATATCCACATTTCTAATTTTAAGAATCTTTGAGGGTGTTTGTGGATAGTGATGAGCAAACATTGTTTTGAACAGAGAATTGATCATAAACTTTCTATACCACAACCCCAAATTCTCCAGATGACTGTGGAAGGCTTTTCAGACACCATCCCCTAAGGATTGAGAAATTCATAAAAGGAAAGTAATGTTACGCTCCATGTAATATACAAACTGAGCATATGGGAGCATCTAGGACAGTGACCTTTCAAAGAGGACAAATTAGATTCTATATGCCTCAGAATATAATATGGCTTAGTGCTTAAAAAAAGCATGACGTATGACATATACTCCTAATTCTAGCCTCATAGCAGTTTACTTTATTATTTCTAAACAAGCTGCATAACTCATTTCTTCTTCAAACACCATAATTCAACCCAGTATTCTCTATAAAGTAAATGTGGACCAGTGCTTGATACTTTAGTAAATGCTAAATATATCTGAATACTTGTCTAATGTTACTTTAAAATAGTTTCAAGGATTGGACCGTGTTCAGGGGGAAACACACGAGAAAATCTGTTGCCAAATGTTCTTTGAACTTTGAGACGAGTAACATATGGAAACACTCTCTGTGGGTAACATACTTATCACCATAGAAACTACAATGAGGTAGTCTCTTCAGGCTACCAAATCTAAATGCTTTTTCCCAAATTCAGATTTAAAAACTTGTTTTTAAAAATAGACTCTTTAAATTTACAAGATGCAAATATTTTCTGTGTTTTTCTTCCTGTTTGTTTTCGAAGTATCTGTACATCGGTATATTCTTACTAACCCCTGGGTTTGTAAGTAATAATAGGGAAAACACAAGTAAATAGTAAAAACCCTGGTAAATCTACTAGTAATAATTGACGATACCACTGTTCAAAATTCATTACACTCAGATTTTTTTTTTCTATGTCTCTTATATCTTCTTTTCGAAATTTAGTTTGGAAAAAAGAGATGGAAAATGTTATATAATACCAGATAAATACCACCACTAGGGGGGAAAAAAGTTAATTTTTAAAAGACCTCTGGATTAATTTTTATCATCTTTTTTATAGCAACATAATAGTGAAATAGGCAAATGCTTTTAGTCACATAACTCGGTTTTCGCAGGCTACAGCTTTCTTTTCTGTGGGGATAGTAGAAGGTCCAAGCATGAAATGAATGATAGCTTTGGACTTCCTCAGTTTTGTGAGGCATCCTTGGAATTGCTCCCAGCTCCACTGACCAGAATATTCTGATAGCTAAGAGATGGGAGAACTCATTTTCTGTCTCATGCCCATCCCAGCCGTTCTGTTGTTGAGGAAGACAGTTACAACGTACCAAAGCTCTCAGACACAGCATGTTAATTGCCCTCTGCCATTATGCAGCAGGAATTGAAGATGTTAATAAAGTCTCTCGCTAACATTTGTTTTGTTATTAATTTATTTTGCCTGCATCTTAATTTGGAGTGACAACTGCCTTCGGAGGCTTTGGACACCATCCCTCTCAGTAACCAAATACCAGCACGTGGGGGCCGTTTCCTCTCTGCAGCTGTCTGTGCAGAGTCTCAACAGTGAGCCTACAGCTGGCAACACGCGATGCAGTGCCCTGATGGCTCCCTCTCTCCTTGCTTTCACAGCTGGCGCTACGTACATCTTTGGGAAAAGCGGAGGCCTCATCCTCTACACCTGGCCGGCCAATGACAGGCCCAGCACGCGCTCTGACCGCCTTGCCGTGGGCTTCAGCACTACCGTGAAGGATGGCATCTTGGTGCGCATCGACAGTGCTCCAGGCCTTGGCGACTTCCTCCAGCTTCACATAGTGAGTACTGGGCCTTGGCCTGGATTCTCTTGTCTTCCTGGTGATCTGAGTTGGTCAGCCAGATAAATGTAGTAGAACATTCTAGATAGACACAGAAAAGGGGCACATGTGTATAAAAATCGCCTGAGTGTGTTGCAGCTGTATCCATGGAGTGGTCTGTGTTAAACCTCATGTTAAGCCTTCAGATAAAAACAGTGATGCCCATAGGGTGCCTCTGGGATCAAAAATTAAAAATTCTTCCCTTCCAGGCTCCCTGTGTGGTTTAGCCTGTCATGAAACATTTAGCAGGCATTTAAGTGTAAATAAGAGATTTACTTGGTGTGGGTCATCTTAACCTGGTGCAAGTGGAAAGCTAACTTGAGTGTTAATGATCTCCTAGGCTGGGGGTCGGAAAAGTTTTCCTGTGAAAGGTGAGATAGTCAATATTTTGGGCTTTCTGGGTTGTACAGTCTGTGTCAGAGCTACTCAACTCTGCCATTGTAATGTGAAAGCAGCTATAGAGAATACATTAAAAAAAAAGTGTGTGACTGTATTCCAATAAAAATGTATTTACAAAAACAGGTTGCAGGCTGCACTTGGGTGACCCCCACCCTAAGCTGCAAACTTCCTCATAGAGATGTGAAGAACGTGATAAAATCGCAGGTCAGAGTGTGCAGGGCAAAAAAGAAACAGCACAGTGACCAAGAGTTGGTGTATTCATGTGTATTCTATATCCAACATTTTGCTTGTATATATAAGCACAATAGGACTGCACCCTCAGTCACTGCAGATCATTAAGAACAGTGCAATTCTAAGAAATTAAAATGATTTGGAGGAAAAAATTGCTTCGTTATGAGGATAGAAAATATTTTTATAGCAGCAATTAACCCATTTTATCTCCTGTGCAGTCTGCAGTTAAGAAAGTAGGCTGAAGAAGGATATGATTCTCATCCATAAGTACCCATAGTGCAGCCACCAAGAGCAAAGAGAGGAATTGTTCTCATTAGTTAGCAACGACGAGGCTAGAAAGAATGGATTTAATTTGGAGCAATAAGAATTGGGTTTAAACAGCAAGGGGGAAAAGCAGTTAAGAGGAAAGATCAACTGGGGATTACCACCAACCTCCAAAAAGGAGGAGAAGGAACATTTCCTGGGAATCTTTGAATCAGAATTTTGCTAATGTGCCGGGTCTACCCAGGGAAGCAGAGGGTGAGATTTCATTGCTGGTGTCTGGAGTTGGAGATGGCTGGCTGGAACCGCAAGCAACAAGCTCAGACCTGGAAGCAGTGCCCATCTCCAGCACCTGCTCTTCCAACATGCCTTGGAAACAGTAGCAGCTTGAAATATAAGGTGTGAGCTTGAAGCCTGTCTGGCCTCAGTGTGAGCCAGAATAGGGCAAGACTCTACTTAGGAGTCCAGGGAAGGACTGGTTAGAAATGATCACCTCCAAAATGTGGAAGCGGGGTCTTGAAGAGTTGTGAACCTTTAATGCTTTCTCAGATGCTTCAGGAACCATATGGTACTATGTGCCTGAACTCAAGCATTTTAAAAAGCCATACCACAGAGCAAAGAGAAAGGCAGCCATAGTTAGTACAGTTTATCTTTATTTGGCCTCTAAGAACCGCTATAATTTACAAAACTCTCCGAGATTTATGCTGCATATAACTTAATGACCATTTCATGGCATCTATAAGTAGGCTATTATTACCAGCTCACTTGCATTTTCATGGTGATATATCTTTTTTTTTTTTTTGGTTCAGCATGACTTACTAGGAAAAATATGATTTGGTGCAGCCATGAGCATCTTTTTTTAAGTCAGATAATGTGCTACCAGTTTATCCATTTCTCCCCATTTGTGTTTTATAGAGCAGCTCTACTTTTAAGAGAAATGTTTTCTTATTTTCTGACAGTTTACTTGAAATTGGCAGTGTTTTTACAAAATGGATATGAGGATCCTGGGAACTTCTAGGAGGAACTATAGCATTCCATTTTAACATCTTAAAAGCAAAAATACAAGAAATTTTACATCAAAATGTGTAGAGCCCCCTTGGGTACTGTGGACTTATTCCAGTGATGCCACTATTGCTTAAACATTCTGGAAAATCTCACAGATTGTCCTTCAGAGCTTGGCTTAGGAAGCGATATCATCTGATGTGTTTAGAGAAAAGAAAAAGAGACCACAACATTCTGGAATGAACCTGACATGTCTGTGGCCCTCTTGAGCACGAGGCCACTTCATTGATCTAGTAATTTCAAACCGTTGTTTATTCCCTAGTGGATTATCTCTAGGTCTACACAGAAGAGGGAAATTTCCTTACCACACTCAGAAATAAAGGAATCCAAATGGAAAATCAAAAGACTTTAGGGGCTGGCCGGGTGGCACAAGCCGTTAAGTGCGCACACTCCGCTGCAGCGGCCAGGGGTTCGCCGGTTCAGATCCCGGGCGCGCCCGATGCATCGCTTGACAAGCCATGCTGTGGCGGCGTCCCATATAAAGTGGAGGAAGATGGGCACAGATGTTAGCCCAGGGCCAGTCTCCCTCAGCAAAAAAAGAGGAGGATTGGCAGATGTTAGCACAGGGCTGATCTTCCTCACACACACAAAAAAAAGAAAGACAGAAAGAAAAAAGATTTGAGGACAAAACCAGCCTCTGATTTTGGACATTTACAAAGACGCATCAGGAAAATGAAACCATAAATACCTCCTAAGATACTTTTATATGACTTGGACCATCTGTAAAACATGGATTTGTTTATCAAATGAAGTTTGTTTCCTTGCACTAAAGAAAATTACTCAAAAGGAAAAGAATTTAAGATCCGTTAATGAAAGTGGAAAGGGTTGAGCAGGAAGCAAAATATTTCAGTCCCCCTTGCAGTTTGCCTGGGAGAAGGGAAACCCACTGGGGAAAGAGAGAAAAAGTGAGGGCAGACAAGAGGCGATGAAAGCAGGGTAAATCCCGGGGACAGGAGAAGAAAGGAAGAAGTGGGCCTGCGGAAGAGAAGACACAAATGCCTAGAGATGTGCTCAAGCTAAATTCTTTGAGTGTGGGTGTTAATTGTGGAAATAACCAAAAATTTTTCGGTGCTATTTCTGATTGGTGGTCAAGCTTGTAAGTTGGTCAAAAGCAAAGTATAAACTCTGAAATTAGCCAGTGTGTGTGTACGTGTGTGGGTGCATGTGTGAGAGAGACAGAGACAGAGAGGAGGGAGAGGGAGAGATATAGAGACTGTGTTTTCTAAGGTGATGGTGAGGGCAATTCTTAGGAATTCCTGAAGTATTTTGAGCAACAGTAACACTATCATTGGAATAAGCCCTTTTTACCCCCAAGTGACCTTATTTGAAGGGGAAGAAAATGCTCTTCCAAGAACCCCAGGGAGTCTGATCCTTACCTGAGCACCCACTCTAGAAGACCTGCCCACCCTGGAGCCTCCGGAGCAGGAATGGCAAATAGGCTCCTTCTTGGCTGCCAGCTCTCGGTGCTTCTCACTCTCTCACTTCAAGCTTTACCTTGGGAAATTGTGTGAAGGCAGCAGGCAAATCCAGCCGGTAGGTGTTCTGGCTTCCACTAGCCATGTCTGCCACCTGTGCAGAATGGGGCTTTGTGGACGGACATATGCTGCACATCCATTATACTTGCTCTAGGCTGCACACAATCCTTCCTCACATACTTGAACTTTCCCATTTCTTTTCCTTTTTCATCTAAAATCCCCATATGTTAAGAACTTTTTAGGAAAATAGATACCTTCTTAAACTCATGTTCCACTGGAGGCCCTTGAATCATTTACTAATTAGTTTAAAGTAGTCTTATTATGTCCTTCTCACACCAGACTAAGGTCAGCTTCTCTGGCAGGATTTGAGTTTTGTTTGGAGAGTTGGGAAGAAAGGAAATGAGTATGACTAATTTGGGGATATACAACATTTTGGGAGATGGCAGGAATACACGGAGAAAGCTTGGGCAGAATGAAGGCATTGGTACTCTAGGGTCAAGAATTGGTGCAAAGAAAGGGGCACCGACACAGTGTTGGGTAGGGGCTGTAGGCACATTTTTTCCTGTTTCACAATTTGCTCAGATTATCTGTTGTTCTGGGCAAAAGAGCAGAGGCTCTTCTTTCTTTTGCTGGTTTCTTTTAAACCTAAAGTCTTCCCACTCCTCTGGGTCTCATGGTGATTAAATGGGCTTTGACAGTAAGTGCTGAACAAGACAAGAATTAGATCATTAAAAAAAATCAGAGAAGGCCAAGAGATCAACATAATTTGGATTGTTTGCTTCAAATTAGCTTACCTTTCTTTGTTTTCTGTTCACACTTCCAATGATGCACTATATTCTGTCAATTGTTAGTCATGATAATAATGAAATCGCAGATGAAACGTGTTTGACAAAGGCAAAAAATCTTTGTTGAAGTGTGTGTGTGTGAAATCAAATTCTGTGGAGGGAGGGCATCTTAGGGCAGAGGGATTTTTTTTAAATGATTGCTTCAAATATGTTTCCTCCATTGAAATCTATTGTTGAGGAATTAACCTGCTCAATATTTGGAGAGAAGCTGCTATTACTTGCAAATGACATCTGCCTATTGACCCCACTTCTAAACTCTATGGAGCTGTGTCATGTTACACTCACCTTCATTCATACAATAGGGAAAAAATTGAATAGGACCAGAGAAAAGATTACCATGAAGTGCTTGCTATTGCTATCACGAAACACTTGACAGCCTTCTTTTACCACTTACAAAATAGAAGGTCGAGGAGAACCTGGGCAACAATTAGCTTCTCTTTATGTAGTTAATGCAGGGTGTAAAAAAGACATCCTATTAATTTCTTTCTCCCTGTTGTAATTTACAGTAAATCCTCTTGAATTCATTTTTTAATTATGAGCCTTTCAGGAACAGTGAAAATTTATGTGTCAGGGCATCTGTTTTGTTTGAGAAGAATCTATAACCTTCCCCAACTGTTTCCCTCCTGACTTATAACATAGATACTTAAGCAAAACAAGGTGGGAGAAGACAAATAACTGCTGGTCAGAC